TGCCCATCGGCCTCAACATGTGCTCACCCACCGACCAGGAGCTGATCAGCCTGGCCAAAAGTCGCTACGCTTTGGTGGGGACGCGTTGGGGACACGTTGGGGACGCGTTGTTGGGGACGTCCCCCAGGTGGGGCAGTCGCTGACGTGGCCGCGTCTCCTCCCCAATGCAGAAGGACACGGATGAAGAGGTGAGGGAGTGCCTGAACAACAACCTGCACCTGCAGGGCAAGGTGAGTGGGGTGTCCCCAAATGTGTCCCCAAAGTGTCCCCAGGGTGTCCCCAAAGGTGTCACCAAAGTGTCTCCAGGGTGTCTCCAAAGGTGTCCCCAGGGTGTCCCCCAAAGGTGTCCCCCAAAGGTGTCTCCAAAAGTGTCTCCAAAGGTGTCTCCAAAGTGACCCCAGAGGTGTCCCAAAGTGTCCCCAGGGTGTCTCCAAAGGTGTCCCCCAAAGGTGTCCCCAAAGGTGTCACCAAAGTGTCCCCAAGGGTGTCCCCCAAAGGTGTCTCCAAAAGTGTCTCCAAAGGTGTCCCCAAAGTGTCCCCAAAGTGACCCCAAAGGTGTCCCAAAGTGTCAACCAAAGTGTCCCCAGGGTGTCTCCAAAGGTGTCCCCCAAATGTGTCTCCAAAGGTGTCCCTAGGGTGTCCCCAAAGGTGTCACCAAAGTGTCTCCAGGGTGTCTCCAAAGGTGTCCCAAAGTGTCCCCAAAGTGTCCCCAGGGTGTCTCCAAAGGTGTCTCCAAAGGTGTCCCCAGGGTGTCCCCAAAGGTGTCACCAAAGTGTCCCCAGGGTGTCTCCAAAGGTGTCTCCAAAAGTGTCTCCAAAGGTGTCTCCAAAGTGACCCCAGAGGCGTCCCAAAGTGTCCCCAGGGTGTCTCCAAAGGTGTCCCCCAAAGGTGTCCCCAAAGGTGTCACCAAAGTGTCCCCAGGATGTCCCCAAAGGTGTCACCAAAGTGTCCCCAGGGTGTCTCCAAAGGTGTCCCCAGTGTGTCCCCAAAGGTGTCACCAAAGTGTCTCCAGGGTGTCCCCCAAAGGTGTCACCAAAGTGTCCCCAAAGGTGTCCCCCAAAGGTGTCTCCAAAAGTGTCTCCAAAGGTGTCCCCAAAGTGTCCCCAAAGTGACCCCAGAGGTGTCCCAAAGTGTCAACCAAAGTGTCCCCAGGGTGTCTCCAAAGGTGTCCCCCAAGGGTGTCTCCAAAGGTGTCCCCAGGGTGTCCCCAAAGGTGTCACCAAAGTGTCTCCAGGGTGTCTCCAAAGGTGTCCCCCAAAGGTGTCTCCAAAGTGTCCCCAAAGTGACCCCAAAGGTGTCCCAAAGTGTCAACCAAAGTGTCCCCAGGGTGTCCCCCAAAGGTGTCCCCCAAAGGTGTCTCCAAAGGTGTCACCAAAGTGTCCCCAGGGTGTCCCCAAAGGTGTCTCCAAAGGTGTCTCCAAAGGTGTCCCCCAAAGGTGTCTCCAAAGGTGTCTCCAAAGGTGTCCCCCAAAGGTGTCCCCAATGTGTCCCCAAAGTGACCCCAATGTGTTCTCAAATTGTCCCCAAAGTGAACCCACTGTGTCCCCAAAGTGTCCCCCAGTGTGTCCCCAAAGTGTCTCCAGAGGTGTCTCCAAAGGTGCCCCCAAAGTGTCCCCAAAGTGTCCCCTAGTGCTTCTCCAAAGGTGTCCCCAAAGTGTCCCCCAGTGTCTCCCCAAAGTGACCCAAAAGTGTCCCCAGGGTGTCCCCAGGGTGTCCCCCAAAGGTGTCCCCAAAGGTTTCCCCAAAGTGTCCCCAGAGTGTCCCCAAAGGTGTCCCCAAAGTGTCCCCCAAAGTGTCCCTTGTATGTCCCCAAAGTGTCCCTCAATGCATCCCCAAAGTGACCCAAAAGTGTCCCCAAAGTGTCCCCAGGGTGTCCCCAAAGGTGTCCCCAAAGTGTCCCCAGTATGTCATCAGTATGTCCCCCAAAGTGTCCCCCAAAGTGTCTCTATAGTGTCCCCAAAAGTGTCCCCATAATGTCCCTTGCATGTCCCCAGTATGTCCCCAAAGTGTCCCCACACGTCCCCAAAATGCCCCCACTGCATCCCCAAAGTGCCCCCATCTCATCCCCTTTCCGCCCCTCGTTGTATCCCCTGCGTTTCCCCCAGTGCCCCCCTGCGCCCCCCCCACCTCCCCGCTGTCCCCTTTGTCCCCTCGGTGCCACCCCCCCTGACCCCCCCCCTGTGCCCACAGTGTGAGAACTCGTCGTCCATGCGCTGGCAGCTGGCTCTGTATCGCGCCATGGCCGGCAGGGCTGAGGATTCTGACAGCCCTGAGAAAATCGTGAGACGAGTGCAGGAGGTGTCAGCAGTGCTGTATCACCTGGAGCAGGTAGGGGGCAGGGGGGGGTCCTGGGGGGGTGTATAGGGGGGTTTGGGGGGGTGTATAGGTGGGTTTAGGGGGGGATGGAGGGGTCCTGGGGGGTACTG